CTTGATTTCGGACTCCGTCTTTGTGCCGGGTGGACTGGAGCGACGGTTGTTTTCGCTTCTGACCTGCTGCTGAAGCAGACCGTAGTAAGGCTAAGGTAGTGAACTGGACGGCTGTGCCGACAAAGTCCACTCGCTGCAGTTCTAACTTGCTTAGGTAGCTTTCTCGTTTCACCGTTGTCGTGTTTTCGGTTATGTTTCGTTGATTCCGCTTGGGACTGAGCGCAGCAGCCGCTGTCAAAGAAGTCCGCCCAAGCCAAAAAAAAGTTGAGCCGCGCTTTCACCTCCTTTGCACAAGTTGTGATTTCGTGATGTAGTTCGGGACAAAGTGCAGCTGTAGCTGTCGAAAAAGCCCGCCTAAGCCTTAGCCAAAAGAAAGGTTTAAAGTCAGGGTGTAAGTGTCTTCCATTCCTTCCGATCTTTTCCACTTTGACCGTCTGAGTGAGTCTGAAGCTTGGACACTGAACCAGACCAATGTTATGGAAAGTCGACGATTGCGGCATCTTGCAGGCGTGAAAGAGTTTTGTTGCCAAACGTGGGTTACAATAGCACAATCTTGGATCCTGTCAACATTGTGAAGATGGTAGCTGCCACCAACAGGCTGAAATTCTTACCTCCCTTTGTGCTGGGCAGTTGTGGGTGCTGACTCACTTCTGCTTCCTCTTACTGCTGATTCGCTTGCATTTGCGCTCTTCAGCTTTCTTACAGCTTTTTTAGGCTTTGATCCGCTGAGCAGGCTTTCATCAACGTAGTCTACGGTCCTGCAATCTTTGGTTGCTCGGCGTTGACTTGACGGTAGTGGTAGAGCGAGCCTTGTTTCACTTTGTCTTTTGATGTTCACTCTTGCTTCTTGAGAGTTCGGATGACACAGACCCAGTATGTCAGACTCTTCCTAAAGAAAAAGTAAGTCTGGGTTTATCTACGATATTGGTACAACACGGGCTGTGTTTTAAGGGCAGCAATGGCATGCTCTTGAGGATTGGAAGGAACTTCCAGGTGGTGATTTCGGCCTTTACCCCAAGGGAGGTTGTCAAGACAACGAATGATCAGTGATTGGACACAAGGAGCCTTGGAGCTTTTGTACATGGCGCACTTGTGCGCGCTAGACGGAAGCCGTATGGGAGTTTCCGAAAACAGGGGTACCTTATTTTGGGGTCCTTATAATAAGGATCCTACTATTTTGGGTACTATATTGGGGTCCCCTATTTTCGGACACCCCCATATGGATGATGAGAATGGTTTCATCTTAGCTGGAGCCATCATCCAGCCAGCCGGTCGCCAGTGCTGCCATTCGCATTCCGAGAGTTGGTTTCCTTGCACCACACCTTGTCTGGTCGTGTTGTCCGACGGGATCAGAACGACGGCCGGAACTTCTTGGTCTTGGCCGTTCTCCTTTGGCCAGGCAGTCTTGGGTGCCGACCCACTTTTGCCCCTTCTCACCGTTGAGTGGCTTGGTAGGCTTTTGTGAGATACCTCTCCGTACAGTTTTTGGAGATGTAGGCCAAGTTGAACGGGTCTTTGCAGACCGCTGCCTGGTAGCCACTTGCTTCCGAGGTAGTTCTGAACACTTTCTGAGCACACTAGGTTTCATTGCTCTTAGGTTCTTCATTGTTTGTCTTGTTTCTTCGCTTGGACCGAGCGCAGCAGCTGTTGTCACCGAGGCCACTTCACTCAAAAAACAGAGCAGTAGCAATAGCCGTGTTGTAGCGGTAGCGGTAGCGGTTGGAGTAGCGGTAGCGGTAGCAGAAGCAGTAGCAGTAGCAGTAGTAGTAGCAGTAGCCATAGCTGTCGGCAACGAACGCGAAAGCGATGACACTGAGAGGCAGAACAGGGAAACACGATGCGGCAAAATACGCGGCGCATGCGTGTCTGACCCTGGGTTCAAACTTTTCAGGCTTCAAATTCAGTGGTGCGCATGGAGCAGGCATAGTCACACGCAGCTGTAGCTTCCAGACCCTTTCGATTCCATGTAGCTTGGAGTTTCCGATCCGAAAATTCGAGATCGTTGTGCTGCGTCTTTCGATCCCAAAGCTGCCCAACAATCTGGAGCAGTGTAAAGCCTTAAATTCAAGGACAGGCTGCACGCCTGGTTTTGGGGCTGAGAAGACTCCTCGTAGACATCTTGATATCCGAAACCCCAACCATACCAGCCTGAAGCTCTAAAGCTTGATGCAGCGCAAGCCTGTGCCGGCAGCCCAGAGTTGCGATGCAAGGCTGGGGGAGGGCTGGCTTCAAGTTTTCTGGTTTGGGCCCCACTAGTGGTTCAACGAGGATTTAAAGGGCTCTTGGAAGGTTTGAAAAGCGCTTTGTGGGTTTTGCTACGGTGTGGGGTCAGGTCTGAACATCTGGATCTTCATTATAAAAGTTGTTGTAGTCTTTTTGCTGGGGCTTATGTCGCCAGCAAAGTGTATTCGGTTCATCTGCGGACAAACGCAAATGTAGATTGCAATGACAGTTTGGCGGCTGGGATGTAAGCTGAATGGGTTTGTTATCGTTTTCTGTGTTGTCGCACACAAGCATCGGCTTTAGGGCACATCTTTTTCGATATCAACCCGAAAGCCAACTTAGTGGCCAAAAGTCCGTGACGACAACACAATAGCTCAAAAACAACGCCAATTACCCAACGTCCCAACCCCACCCAATACCCAAGAAGACAACATTAAAACATAGCCTTATCGCAGCAACCCCGAACCCCGCAGAACACACAATCCCAAACTTCTTACACTCTCAAGCCCTAAACAACCCTCATTGAACGCACCCCTCTAAAGGAACCCCCAAGAACCCGTAACGGCCCTAGCAGCTTTGGAAGGCAAGCCACCCGAGCCCTCTCTTCACTTGCCCGTGCCGCAGCATGGCAGGTGGATGGTAGGGTTTACTTAAAGGCTCATGGGACTTAGTAAGTAAGGTTATAAGTACCTTAATTGGGGTTATAAGTAGTTATAAGTATAGTTACCTTACTTATAGCCCTAGTTACTAAGTCCAATGATCCTTTAAGTAGGGTTTAGGGTTTAGGGTTTATGGGACCTCGGGTTGCAAGGTCATTAGAAGTGCTGCTATGAGGGCTACTAGAAGGGTGATCTCATATGAAATAGGTCTTCTGGCATGGTATGTAGGGTTCTTGAAAGTTTTCGAGGTGTTGTTATGAGGTTGAGGGTGATACGAAGGTTTAACCCGCACATCTTCCCCGCAATACCTGAATTTTCGTCCAGCCGCTCTTGCCGGCAACCCTCTACGGAGCTAGGTTGCGTGCATTTCACCCACACACGAAGGTTTTAACGAAGGACCTGGTGGCGTGATAGCGAACATGTACCCAGGGTGCCCTATTCGGGAACTTGATAAGAGCAGCCCGACTGCTGCAGGGTTTGGCCCTGTGACTCGTGAGGGCTCAGGGCTGTTGGGCTTTGGAGATCGAGGGTTCGTTGAGCTGCTTGGGGTTGGATGTACTGTGGTCTAGTCGAAGGTTTTGAAGCAAAAAGAGGTTTTGAAGCAAAAGGGAAGATAGTCGAAGGTTTTGAAGCAAAAGGGAAGAAACGAATGATGGGGACGAGTTTCCACTAAAATCTTGAGTTTGACAGCAGCAGCTTAGTCGGAGAAGCGGCCGACTCGTGGCCGAGGTGTTGGAAGGCTTTTTGCACCGGTTTGGGCATGATTAGTCATTGTCATAGTCTACTAGACTTATACGAGTACTTTGTGGTTTCTAAGATTCGTGAAGACTTAGTGATACCATAATATCCTTGTAATCCGTATGGTTCTTGTATAATATGCGACAAAACCCTGTTGCAACTGTCAAGGCATTAGATTACGTGGACCCAACAAAGGTCGGCAGGGCAGACCCGACTTTCGCAGGATTCGAAGCTGAGTGAATAGGTGGCAGTTCGGGAAAGATTCAACTTCCCCTCAGCTCCCTCAAAAACGTCTATCGGATTGACATTAGAACCAGAGGCAGTACTCGGTCGGCACCTGCCCGGAACCCGAAACTCAATGCCTCCTTCCTGGGTTTTAGTGACTTGGGTCTCAAACTCGAAGCCCTTCAAAAATCCGAAACACTTTAGATCCTAAAGGGCCCAAAACCCAACCCTGGAAAAAGACCTGCAGTAGCAATGCACCCCAGAACCTCTAAAAATCCCTCAACGACAAGCTAAACGCAGAGACCCTAAACCTGCAACCCTAAAGTTCTCAAACCTTCAGCCCTTAACCCCATAACCTCAAACCCTTTCAAGCAAGGCCACCTGCAACTCCTGAAGCTTTGACTGGTTGGCCTCGGGCAGGAGTCGCTGAAGTTCCTAAGCTCTTGGGTGCAGCGCCAGCTTCAGCTGAATGCAGGGATCTGAGACAGAATCTTTCAAAACCCTAGGGTACCCTAAAAATGCTGCTGCACGCTGACCTCTCAGGGGATGCTGGGGTTATGAGGACCAGGACTCAGGATTAATCAGGTCTTGCGGCCGCCAAGCTGTGTTAGGGTTGTTCGGGTTCGCGCTGGACCACCAGCAATGAACATCGCAGCTCGGGATCCATGCCCGATTATGGCCCCCACTGTAAGGTAATATTCTCAACCCTAAACCCTTATACTTCCAAGAAAATTATGGCCCATCATATCTAATGAGCTCGCATGTCCATGTGAACCCTAAACCCTAAACCCCTAAACCCCTAAACCCTAAACCCCTAAACCCCTAAACCCTAAACCCCTAAACCCTAAACCCCTAAACCCTAAACCCATGTGAACCCTAAACCCTAAACCCCTAAACCCATTTTGGCTCAAGACTTGGCTCAAGGCCCGGAGGTTAGTCTAGAGTGTGGGGCTGTGGGCCGGCTGTGGGCTGCTGGAGGGCTTCGTGGGTTACCCGATTCGCCGGTTCGAAGGGGGCTGCTGGCGGCCAGTTCTTCGTCTCTGCCTACCTGCTTTTGCACTTTGACATTCCGTCCTCGGCATAGACGCGATGGGTGATAGACTACGGGTGGGGCTGCCGCCGTCGGCCCTTCCAGGACAGCCGCTGCTCAATGCCATGGAGGAAAGTGATCCCGACCTGGATGAGGCCAAAAGCCCTCCCAAGAGGAGCCGGGGGAACAAGCAGCCTGGGAGCTCTTCGGCGGAGCCCGAACAGGCTGTCACTATGGATGGACTCAAGCTCTTGTTCCAGGAGCAGTCCCAGGTGCTGCTTGCCGCTCAGAGGGAGCAGATGCAGCAGACCATGGCGGAGTACGAGAAGAATCAGGCGATCCGTATGGAGTCCATAGAGAGCAGGGTGGAGAAGCAGCAGGCTCAGCACGATGACTTAGCCTCGCAATTCCGTGAGATGGGCGAGAGACTTCAGGCACTTGAAGCTAGAGGCTCCCCGCATGCTGTGGGGCCAGATCGCAAGCTCACCCTGGTCTTTGGTGGTTGGCCCATGCAGACTCGGCGAGAGACCCTCCTGACCCAGTTGCATCAGGCATTGGAGGCCCTTGATCTGGCTTCTTCACTTGATCAAAGGCCTTTCACCACGGGACCCAGGCGCTCAGTTGCCCTCTGCAATTTCATGATCCGACAAGGGGAAGATGCTGGGGGTGCTCGACAACGCATGTTAAAGGTGTTGCAGGCAGTGAATGGGGCCAGGGTTGAAGTGGAAGGGTGTGCGAAGCCTCTTTGGTGCAGCTTCTCGCGCAGTCCAGCTGAGCGCGGACGAGCAGCTGTAGCTGCAATCGTCAAGAAGGTGCTGATGACCCATGCCCCTGGCCGTGCTTGTGACCTTGACGTAGAGTTTGCTTCGGGCATCGCTTGGATTCGTGATGATCAATTGTCAGGAATGGGGGCACCGCCCCCAGAATGCTCCAAAGCCAGGGTTCTTGAAACGAAGGCTGGACCGGCGTGGCTTGACGAATCCACGCTGGCGAAGTGGCTCGGGATTGACAAGTCGGTGGTTGAGTCGATGGTCTCCAGTCACCGCTTCTGAGATCCCCGATCTGATGCTGATGTTGTGGCACCTTCGCCGACAGCTGTCATGGGGTCGACATCTCCACTGAATCCCTCACCCTCACAAGTTGTTCTCAGTGATGCCAGTCAGTGCAAAGCAGGGGACTATAGGGTTGTGGGATGGAACATTGGTGGCTCAGACCTTCACCTGCTGTCTAAGGCAGTCCAGGATGGCACTGGCTCAGGAATGCGACAAAATGACTTGGCTCTCATCCAAGAAGTTCCGCGTGAGGGTGAAGGGTGGTCTTTTGCAACCTTTCAAGGAAGGCGATTGGTTTCTCACAGGGATCCTCAACAGTGGCGTGGTACGGGTCTTTGGTATGATGAAAGGTCCTGGTGTGTTCTCAAGAAGATTGGCACTCTCAAGGGCACCTGGTTTAAGATCCGAAGCCTCGAGACCGACTTTGAGACCTGGGTTGGAACTGCTCACTTCTCTCCGGGATGCACGGTGCAGGTGTACGAAGAGGAGGTTGAAAACCACTTCCGAGGGCTCCCTACTACGGCACACAGGGTTCTTTTCCAGGGTGATGTCAATACCGGTTTCTTGTGGCAGGCTGATGCTACAGGCACCACTGCCATTGCCAAGGAAGGCAAGGGAAACATCCTTCATAAGGTCTGCATGGAACGTGAGCTTTCCTTCCTTCCCCCCAGGCGAGATTGCATGCAATGCCCGACGAGCAGGCCGAGGCAGACTGACCGAGAAGGACAGTGTATTGATGTCTTTGTGGGCAAACGGGTGTCCTGTCGACAAGTCGTCATACATGTTGACTCCTATCTCTGTGCAGGCACGGATCATGAGATCGTGGAAGGGTCTTTTGCCTTTGCGACGCCTAAGGTCCGCACGCGACATGACAGTCAGCCTAGGGTTGTGCACGGGGATCTGCCGCAGTTGGACTACCTCGACCAAAGGGTTTTGGAGGGCCTGGCTCGGGACTACACGAAGCCTAAGCAGGGTCAGGGGTACCGTGATCCTCCGGAAGTCAAGAAGGCATTCAGGGAAGCCAAGCAACCAAGGACAGCCGCTCTTTGGAAAAACGCCCTTAAGCTCCGGAAAGTCGCAAGACAACACTGGGAGAAGGATCGTCTTGCTCGTGCCGCTCGAGGGGATTGGGCTGTGTTCAAATCCTTGAAGCGGCCCAAGCAGGTTGGATGGGACGTCGCCTTTGCCGAGTGCCAGACAGGGGATCCGCACGAGCTCATCCACCAGCACCTCGCCTCAGTCTACGAAGGGGTTGACTTGCCTCAGGAGGAGCCCTGGACAGGGTCGGTAGCTGCTTTCACCGCTCATGAACTGAGGGTCGCAGTAGGCCAGATGAAGAAAGGGAAATCCGTAGGGGTTGATGGCACGTCGGCAGAGCTCATGAGCGCAGTTCTGGAGGCCCCTGGTGGTGAGACTCATCTGTTGGAGTTTTACAACCGTGTACTCGCCACCCAACAGATACCCTCACAGTGGAATGAGGCCCTGCTGATCCTCCTCCCTAAGGTGACCGCGCCAAAGCATGTCAGAGAGCTACGGCCCATTGCTATGTCCAGCGCAGTAGGAAAGGTTTTCAGCCGGCTTCTGCTAAACCGTGCACTCCCTCTGGTTTCTCCATCCACCTATGCCCAATGTGCTGGGCCTCATCGCCAGACATCTGACTATTTGTACGCTGCCTTCAGATCCTTTGAACTCGCACGAGAATGGGGGCATCCCTTCGCCATACTTAAGCTCGATCTCGAAAAAGCTTTTGACAAGTTGGATCGTTCAGCCCTCGTTCGTCAGCTCGAATCCCGCATTGGACCAGGGCCGGAACTCCAGTGTTGGAAAGCCCTGCTTCGTGGAGTGCGAGGGCGCTTGCAGACTCCCTGGGGCTCAAGTACGGTGCGAATGGATCGGGGAATAAAACAGGGCTCGATCGAATCACCTTGCTTCTTCAGCCACGTAACCGAGGTGGTGCTGGCTATGGCAGTGGAGACCAGGGTGTGGCAGGCACAACAGAGGGTTCTAGAAGGGTTGGATGCCGAGGAGATGCTGTTTGTTGACGACGGACTTTTGTGGAGCCGCAGTTGCCGTTCGGTACAACTTAAGGTGGAAATGCTTGTTGATCTCCTGCACGGGTTTGGCCTGAGCATTAATCCAGCCAAGTGCTCTCTCTACGTCACTCACAATGTCGAGGATGGGACATCTGTGACAATAAGAGGGTTCAGGGTTGAGGCATCGGACCACATGGAGATCATGGGGATACGAATGTACGTAGGGATCTCCATCTATGAACTGGTTGCGCCGTTGGCCTCGAGGGCTCGCGCAAAGTTCTGGGAGTACAAACACATTCTCCGGTGCAAGACAGGCATGAAGGCGCGTGCACATGTCATGCAGAGGATTGTGGGGTTCCTGCGCCCTTTGGTGTCTCAGTAGCTTTCCACCGGATGCTGCGGCAATGTCAATGCTGAATTCAACCCAACTCCAGCTTATGACGTGGCTACTGAGATTTGCCAAGAAGTCCTCGGAAACTTGGGTTGAGTACAGGCAAAGGGCCTTCCGGGGAGCCAGCCACGCACTGCACAGTACAGGACTCCAGAGATGGTCAACACTGTGGCTCCGTCGATGGTGGACCTTCGCAGGCCACAGGGTCAGGGGTATGCTTGCGCCGAGTCCGGTAATCAGTTCTCTTCTTGAAGACTTTCGAACTGGTCCATGGTGGCAGCGTGAGAAACTTCGGAAGGATGGACACAAACACTGTCAACACTTTCCCAGGCTGTCCAACATTGAGAAACACATGAACCAAGTGACGGGTGGCCCGTGGAGGGAAAAGGCTCACGACAGAAAGGGTTGGAAACAACTGGAAGAACAGTGGATTCTCAACATGGACCTGCCGTGGGCCTCAGGGCGACAGCACTCGATCAAGGACCTCTAGACTGGGCAGTACTAGTTGCAGGATGTGAGCAATGTACAGTTGGGGATTGGACGCAGGGTTGACGGGGTTGCCGTGTGAAGGTTGATGACCTCGGCCTGATGGCTCAGCACCGGCCGACCATTGTGTCCAGCCTACAGTTAGTGTCTGTGGCCCTTGCAGCCATGACCATGCTCTACGTCCTCCATATCTTCTTTCCTGGCCTCTTCGGTGGCCTTTTGGGAACTTTTCCTCAAGGGAATTCTCACTTCATACCATGGGCAACAGGGACAGGGAGCACCGTTTTGGAGCTGCCCTCACTATGCAATGTTCCAGCCAAGCCCGATCTTGAACTTGTCGGCAAGCCGTGTGTCAACATTGACCCATCCTTTGTGATTGGCTGCCGTGATGCAAGCTTTGAATTCGACCTGAACCTCTCTCGCAGTGGCTGTCTTTTGCCTTTGGGATGGGCATCCAACGCAGGCCCTTTCCAGGTGACTTCTCCAGCTCGACGAGCTCGGCGGGTCATGTACCTACTCCTCGCCTCCGACATGATTCTGAGCAACATCGGCCAAATGCACCCAGGACTTTGGGAACTTGGAAGCCGCACACTGGGAGCAATCCGAGTGGTGCTGTGAGGACCACCAAAGCGTTTTCTCTGCCCAGGGAGGGCAAGCTTTGGGGATCACAGGCACATGTCTTTCTCTGCGTGAGCCCGCGGCTGCGGACCAGGACACTAAGGCCCCTCCTGCCCGTTCTGCGCAAGATGGACAAGCTCGGCGAGTCCAGTACCCAGACTCCCTCCACGATTACCAGCTTCTGCACGAGTTCGTCGCAACGGACCAGGACATTGAGGACCCCCCCTTGGGCGTGTCGCTGTTGAGTACGCGAGTACTATTAGTGCTCGGCGTACCTCTGGGTAGCTGCTTTGATGAGCCCTTTCCCCCGGATCGAGTACCAGGATGGTATGACCGTGCAGTAGATGATGCTCGGTTCCTCCAAGAACGGGGATGCAGCATGTTCGACATCTTCCGAGCGGTGGACGCAGCAATGGCTGAATACCAAGACCCGACCTTCGTTGAGGAAACAGAACTCTATGTGTCTGGCATACGGAGAGCTCTACATCAGCACCAAGGGACAGTGACTACTGACCCGGTCACACTTCAAATGGGGCTGCCTGCTGAAGCTGAAGTGCGTGAATATGCGGTTTGGGTGGCTCGTCTCTTCCGGGACAGGTGGCACTGGACCAGGTGCCCGGTGGCCATGCAGAACATGATGGACGACCTGGGACTGGTGTTGAGCTCGTTGCCATGTGAAAGGTATGCTGACGAGCTCTACGAGAAGCAGAGACTGAGCCGATCCAGGTCCCCCCAGAGACGGACACGGGCACGCCAGCATGAGAAACGGACGGGTGAGAGGGTTGACGAGGGTGAAGAGACAGACAATGTGGCGTTGACCCAGAAGCGAAAGCAGGTGGCCACTCCGGAACATTCCAGGGATGAAAGCAGCAGGAGACGGCGAACGGCCGCGTGGAAGTCAAGGGTTGCTGAAGAACTTCTACTAATGGCACCACTAAACCGTGCACAGGCCAGACGACAACTCCTATATGATCTTGCTCGGCTCCATGGCCATGATGTTGCTGACTTTGCCGAGGCTCTCCTGAACGACATCGACAATGGAGCATTGTTTGAAGTCTGCACAAGAGCCACACCCGAGAGCCACCAGCTGTGAGTACGTGGGTGGCACAGGAAGTGGCTGCTGTTCTGACCATGTGGCAGCAGGGTGATAGGGCACGAAGCGGAGTTTCTGAGAGGGGTGCGTCTTCAACACAGGTTCTACATACTCCACCGCAGGCTACCTTTACTTTGGATCCCCCTGAGGCCGTTCCTTTTGGCATCTTCCATGCTGCACATGTGTGGCCAAGTGGAGGATGGAACACCAGAGCAGAACTCATCCGCATGGGCAGGGCTGACCTGGTGTACGATGTGGAACCTTGGGAGCTGGCCAGTGCTCCCTCATCGGCGCATACACCGGCCACGCACCCTGGAGCCGGCCAGGTCAGGTATGACAACACTGAGACAGAAGAGGTGGAAGAAGAGGATGGCTTCTCCCTCATGCAGACACATGGAGGTTCGGATCGGGGGCACCAGGCTTGGGAAGTCTTGATGTCAGTCCTCTCCGCATGGCTTGCCCGAGATCGACAGGTTGTACCGCTGCTTGACCGAGTGCAAGGCCTGGCCCTTCGTCGTGGGAATGATCTTTATGGATTTTGGATCCGGGGACCTATGGCTACGATGAGGTTAAGTTCGACGGAAGGGAGACCAGGACCAGTGGGTGATGTACCGGATGGAGAGGAGGCCAATTCATGGGTGGTGCAAGTTGAGCGATTTCTCTGGGAAGCCTTCCTCCGGGACTATGAGCACACTGCGGCGGAACCGGCGGTGAACTTGCCGGAGGATGAGCAGGTGAACCTGATGGAAAGGCAGCGGCGTGCCAAGGACGATCATCTCCATCGACGCCGCCGGGACAGGAGGCACAGCCGCACGCCAAGGAGTTCACAACAAGAATGGGTCACCGAGAGCACCCGAAATTTGCTTGAGCCTACGAGGTGTTCAGCTCCGAGCAGCTCCACTGCAGGACGGGGGCGGCCTTCTGAAGGTGGTGGTGAACACACGCGCCCTCCTCGACCAAGAAGTGACAGAAGTGACACCGCCACGTATGGCAGAAGTGGCACACCCAGACCGTCTGCAGGCACTACGCCTGGAGCGGGCAGTTCGACAGACATGCCTCGATCTCGGTGGGTCGATCTTCAGCAACCTCTTACCAGGGACCAAGCTGGAGACCTTTGGCGATGGCTACTGGGGGTGGACCGTTACTCATGGCCACGTGGACGGGCGGTTCTGGGTGAAGGCTACGCATTCTTGCCACTTGAGCGGCAGGAGCACATCATGCAGCACTTCCGGGAGATGTCTGATGCGAATCGGGCAATGATGACAGTTGCTTTCACCCAAGTCCTCCGCTACATCATGGCTGAATGCAGTAACTTGATGCATATGGGGGATCTACAGGGACGTGAAGACACTGGTGATCTTGTGACAGTGACCCTCGATCCCACGGACGAAGAAGGCCCCGCAGAGGATGACACCGACCGTGACCGAAATGAGGATGTCGACCTCATGCAGCGCTTCACCCTGACGGGAGGCCGTGGCTCTATGGAAGATAGATGGGCACGCAACCTGGCGCGCATGCAGAAAGAGCTTGGGGCCCAGAACAAAATGGTTCGGTGCGCGAACATCAGGCGCATCCGTTCCAGCCTTCCAGCCTGCGAACCCTGGAGCATCTTCGAGAGTCGACGGGAACAACTTCGTGCGTTGCTGGTGGCGATGATGGAAGAAGTTGAGGGAGAATGCGACCGGATTATGCCTGGTTAGCAAATTGGGCTAATGCGCTGGAGGCATGCCTGCCGGGTAGCTCGTTCAACCTTGGAGTGTTGCCAGTGGAGCAACTAGCAGAGGTGGTGGATGATTCGCCTCCTCCACCTCTGCCGGTGGCTGGCCTGGGTGGCGGGCATCTGCAACCGGACTGTCCTCAACCTGCTCTTCACACACAAGCGGCAGATCTCTACGCGCAACAGGAGCTCAACGTGGTCAGGCAGCAGGCGGCTGAATACCAGGCCTGGGAACGCGACTTGATGTCGAATGAACTCCGTCGGGCGCCTGGCCGGAAACGCAGCCTTACATGCTGCACCTTGGAGGTGGAGGCTGCTTCTGGCAGCGGGGACCGGCCGAGAGTCTCCCACACCTACCAGCTGACGGTGCCGGAGTCAGGGGATGAAGTTCGACTGACCATCCGTGCCAGGATGACCCAGGCCCCTGAAGAGGTCACTACGGAGGAGATCTTCAGTGAGGGAGAAAATGCTCAGGAGCCTCAGCACACGCAAAGGGCCACTTGTGCCACGGCCAGGAACGTGCTTGAGCTGCTGGAGTTTGGCGATTTTGCCAAGGTGTATGCACAGTGGAAGGCAGGCACGCTCAATTTGGAGCAGGTCGTGGCGGAGTACGGCAACGAAGTGGCTGAGATGCTCATGACCCATGATGCGATTGAAATGGATGACACTGACACGCTCACTGGGATGAAGAAGCTTCCGAAGGATGATGATGTTGCACGTGAAGACACAGGGATAGGTGGAGATCAAGGTGATGAGGGACCTGGCAGTCTTCATGGGGCTTCCAGTGGTATCACAGACGCACCCACACTGCCGATGATCCCGCAGCAGACCCAAGTGGAGGAGAACTCGCCGGACGTGATGCAGGTCGCCGACAATGGGGCAGAACTCGATTGGGACACGTCTGGTCAGCAGAATGATGCATCACAGGGGCATACGGAGTGAAGCTCGCGAAGATCTGAGAGAGCCAAGGGTTCAGGTTACCACCTCCCACAACTGGGTTCTGCCGACCTTGACTGCTAGGTGGAAAAAGGTGCTCAAAAAAAAAAAAACCCCTAAACCCCTAAACCCTAAACCCCTAAACCCTAAACCCCTAAACCCCTAAACCCCTAAACCCTAAGACCAGACAGATTCTGGTTGGCCCCGAGGACAATCCCAGGGCTAAGCTGCAGTTGAAAGGGCCTTATATTACGGTTTAGGGTTTAGGGTTTAGGGTTTAGGGTTTAGGGTTTAGGGTTTAGGGTTCACATGACATGCTAGAGTTGAACGTCGCTTTCACATTGGGAATCGTTCACCTCATCCCATCGGTCGTCTGGGAAGGGGTTGCGGGGGGCCCCTCGGCCCAAAGAAGACCCGGTCTAGGCTTTAGGGTGGTCTCTGCCGGTCTGGATTGAGGATTCACGCATTCAGGGTTTGCGTGCCCTTAGGCCCCTGCTGGGGTCTGCGCCTAGGTTATTCACTGCAGCTCCGCCCTTACCGCCTGCGAGACTCGGCTGTAAGGCTTCAACAGTGCCCTGGATCATGTCTCTACGGTTCCCGAGTAGATGTCATGCAATTGTCTTTTTTTCGCTTTGGGTTCAGGTTCAGCATGTAGTTATCAGTTCGCGCTCGGGTTGAAGGCTCTCCTTAGATCGTTTCTTGATGCGTGCGCACTTTTTCCGGATCCTTTTGTCGCGGCTCGCAGGACTTGGTCGGTTGTAGGGTTTCTGGCTTCAGGCTTGTGGCTGAGGGCTCGTGCTTGATGCAATGCTGTTTCAAGTTTTGGGGCTGGGCTCGCAGTCTGCTCGAGCATTTTCGAATGTGTCGGTGTTTTGTAAGAGGAAGCAAGACCATGGAGTTCGAGGGTCTCGGACTTAGGATGCAGCTTGATCCCCTAGAAGCCTCCACACAAGGTCCTGAATGACCCCGATGGGGGCCACAAAAATCGCTATATGCAGAGTTTCAAATCTCACAGGTGCGGGTGTGAACTTCGCACGTTCAAGCGCGGGTTAGTTCTTTGTTGCCCAAGCTGGGACTTCGTCCTGCCCTTTCATTGCTTCATAAGGGACGATACGGCTTAGATGATCGGAGTACCATCTATCCAGCTCCACAGAGATGTGATACATCCACCCCTGCCGAGTTTGGTTCCTCCGCCCCAAAGCACCGAATTTGCCGTAGGTTCCTGGTGTCGAGTTGTTTGTTGTCGGGTTTGGATTTAGAATTTGGGTAACCTTAACCCCGAAGTGGGAAACCTTAAACCCTGAACCCCATTCCCTGCGACCCTAAGCCATCCTAAGCCCTTAACCCCAGCCCTTCAAAACCCCAAGCTTCAAGACTATGAGCTCTCCGGCAGGCCTTATGACCTCGGCAGGGGGGGAGGTCCATGATGTAGAAACCTTAGACCCTTAGCCTCAAACCCAACTGTAAGCCCTTATAAGTCCGAATCCCCAACCCTCATCCCTATTGAGCCTACAGCCCCAGAGCCCTACAGCCCCAAACCTCAAACCCCTAAACCCTAAACCCAAAGCCCTAAACCCTAAACCCAAAGCCCTAAACCCTAAACCCTAAACCCCCAACCCAGATCCCTAAGCCGAGGAGCGTGCTGGAGAGTGGCCAGCGGCCCTGCAGCTTCTCGACGAAGCCCTGGGCCGAAGGTTCTCGTTTTTTTTTATAAGCTGGGTTTTTTGGGGTTCGGCGTAAATAGGGGACCTTATATAGGGGTTTAGGGTTTAGGGGTTTAGGGTTTGGGGGTGTAGGGGATTAAGGTAATATGGTACCTAAAATAATAGGATCCCTATTAAAAAGAAACTCCCATATCTAGGTCTTCAGAAAGATCAGATGGGTTTATGGGGTTCGTGGGGTCTACAGGGTCTTATTGCCAAGGGTTTCACAAGGGCGTCCAGGCCTTGTTGACGAGCATGGTTTCTGGAATGCCTTAAGCTTGAGATCCCTGTTGTATTCCTCGTTGAGGATATGGGTTGATTGACCAGGGGTGGGTCTTCATTAGTCGAGAACCTGTCTGTGCCGCCACATGCAACTTCAAATGACTCCGTTTCCGACAGGACGATAGTGGACAGCCGAACCCTAAACCTTAAACCCCTGAACCTCTGAACCCTTAAGCCAAGAGTGGGATATCTCTGTTTCTGACCTAAACCCTAAACCCTAAGCCCCTTTCTAGCCTCTTCGCAGACCGCAGGGGATTGGGAGAAAAGGAGCTCAAAAACAAACCCTAAGCCCCTAAGCCCCTAGACTCTAAACCCCGAATTACCACTTAGCCCTCTACGTGGGATCTGCCGCTGTACCCGCACAAGACCGTGCCCCAAGCCCCATGTCCCCAAACACTAAACCTCACGGCCTAAAAGCCCTCAACCCCCCAAAAGCCCCCGCAGAACGACGCCCTAAACCTCAAGCCCCGAACCCTCTACTTAAAGGCTCATGGGACTTAGTAACTAGGGTTATAAGTAAGGTAACTATACTTATAATTACTTATAACCCCAAGTAGGGGACTTATAACCTTACTTACTAAGTCCCATGATCCTCTAAGTAGAGCCCAAAACCCTCAACCTTGTAGATCCCTTTTAAGGAACCCCTATAGATCCCAAAACCCTAAACCCTAAACCCTAAACCCTAAACCCTAGAGCCCTTTGCCAGGCTCCGGGTTGACGCGCCGTGCTTCAATGCAGCGATCAGCGCCGCTGCGCGTGGCGCGCACCTTGCTCCTCTTGCTCCTGGCTTGGGCTCAGAGTTTGGGGGCTTTTTGGGCTTTTTCCTTTACATCTAGCACTTATGAGGCTTGGTAAGGAGGAAGTCAGGCGCAGAAGCACTTCTGTTGTAACACCTGCTTAGTCCTTAAGGCGAGAGATCCTCTTGACCCCTTCCCTGCGCATTGCATATCGCAGTGCTTACGCGTTTCTCGACAAAAGAAGGTAAAGTACAATGCCACAGCTCAACTACTTTCGATCCGTATCTGTCCCGCATGCGTTCTGTCGAGTTGTCGTAGAGTCGAACATGCATGGCCGAAACCGCAGAGTTGGGCTTCAAGACCCAGAGGCCAACAGCCTATTTTGGCTGTTTGGGCTTCAAACTCCTTAGCCCGGACTCTGCAGCACGATGAGACCCCCCCAAACCCAACGAGATCCGTGAACCTTGAGCTGGGAAGAAGTCTTCTAGCCTTACTGGCAACGGTAAGTTACTGAGATACTCAAGCCGCTTTGTTTTGCGACCAAACACAATGGTATTTTCAGTAGCCGTTATGCCAAAATTCCGAGACGGGACCCCTCTGTGCGGGTCTGTGGATTTATGACTTTGTGGCATTTGGGAGTTTCGGAAAATTAGGGGTACCTTATTTTGGGGTCCTTTTAATGGGGATCCTACTATTGGGAGTACTATATTAGGGTCCCCTACTTTCGGAAACTCCCATTTAGGTGTGGAGCTGGAGGATGTCCCGACCGTTTGCCCATCAGCTTGGGAACTGCTTTTTGGTGGGGATGGGGGTGTGCGGGGGGTGGGACGTGGGCGTGGAATAACTAGAAGTACTACGGTTGATGATATAAATCCTGCATGACCTTAAGGACCCTAAACTATGGGAATTATGGTATATTACTTAATATGGGTAATGCAGGATTTATATCATCAACGGTAGTTCCTGAGGTTGCCGTGATCGTGGCTGTGGTAATTTGGCAACAGCACTGCTGCTAGGTGCATTGAACAACCAGACCAGGGACGTTATCCTAGCAATCAATCTTCATCACCATCATCAACAACATTGACCACCATCGACATCGTCATCATGATCTGAACTGCCTGAGTTGTCAAACGGACTAGGCTGTAATCAGATTATTCACACGTTTCATAGTTTAACAGAGCAAACAGTACATTCATACCAGAACTCCTAGTTAAGATCGCGCACGAACCCGAAGAAACCCACTCCTAACACAGATAGCCCTTGTAGGAATTACGAAGAAGTGCAGCTGTTGACAAAGTGAGGCAGCTGTCCCATGCGCTGCAACTCCTCCAGCAAATGGACCTTCTCCAGGCGGACCTTTGAAACGAAGTGATAAGGCTACAATCAGGGTATGATAGGGGTGTTACGTGGGTGAGCAGAGTCTTTGGGGTTGGGGCCCTAAACCCTAAACCCTAAACCCTAAACCTGGGGCTGTCTGGAGACTCAAAGTCCCCACCAGATCCCTCAATCCCGTGTGCCCCAAGTCCAAACCCCGACACGAAAAGTCCAAGCCTCAGACTCAAACCCCAAAGTCCAGAGCTATTTGGAAACACACATAGCGGGATCCGAATTAGCAGGACTTTGTTGATGGAGTTGATTTTGAAGGCTACCACCGCTTAAGACTCTGAATCGATAAAGTTATCAGTTTCTTTGATCGTTGCATACTATAAAGCCAAGAGAAGATTGAGTTACTAGGATCCCAAACCAACGGTAGCTGTAGAAAGCTTAGACAATTGGTTTTAGGATTCGGGCCCTTGCCTTTGAATTGGGTGCTATAGGATTTTATAGGGTTCTAATGTGGTTTCATAGGGTTTATAGGAGTTTATTGGGGTGGCGAGGTGGCAAAGACGGTGGTCACGTACGGGGCGATCATCAGCGCCTGCGAGAGAAATGGTCGTTGGCAGGCAGGCGCCGGTAGCCATAGCCACCACCAAGTCCAGCACATTTGTGGTCAGACCAGTTGTTTTCGTGTTGCTTTTGACGCAGCATAGATAGTTTCGTACCAACAGTGGTGTTCCTTATACCTCGTATACTTTTATACTGTACCACTACCCCAAGCCTTATTGCAAATTGCGAAGCTCGCCTAGACCAAACCCTGTAAAGCACCTAACATCCGCATGAAACGCATCGGCAACCCTATGAACCCTTTTTCCAAAGTTTCGAAAGGACTCGCATGAAACCCATGGGAAGTTCAGATGCCTTGACAAAGACCTGCCATGCCTCAGTTGGCCCTTGAGTTCCTCGTGGGCATGGAGTTGGAGCGCCTTTCCAGGTCTCGCCTGCAGGGCATTTGGCAGAGGGGTTCCATCACAGGCTTCTGTAGGGGCCTTGCAGGGTATTGAGCATATAAGTCATGAGTAGACTGCCCCGTGAATCCCTAGAGTCTTGTACTACACCACAACATCAGAGGCTTCGGGTCCCAAAGCATGCGGCGTGCCACCACGAACTTTGGGGGCTTTGGGGGTCCGCTACCCTGTAGCGCAGGAGCTTCGTGGGTGGTTCTCTAAATCTGTGAGGACCCTAACGACCCTCAGAAGAGAACCACAGATAACCCTAATCCGTTTCAGCCCTCAGAACAATGCCCCGAGATGGTTCAGGAACACGGTGACCTGTAGCTCTGCGATCTCAGCCTGCGAAAAGGCGCGCGGGGAAGAACCCTTTCGCCTTACAAGAAGAAGGTATTGGTGTTCAGGGTTCAGGGTGTAGGGTGTGGAGTCTTTAGGTCTAGCGAACCTGAAACCTTGAGCCTTGTGAAGTTAAAGCCCCGAAGCCTTAAAGCCTACACTCCATAGGTGTCTAAACCCTAAACCCTAAACCCTTTCCTGGGACACCTCTTCGAGGCTGGGAACTGGACGGCCATGCTTCTGCTTCTGGAGGAGATGCTCCCTGGGCCGAATCGATAGGCCCAAAACCCAAAACCCCACGTAACCTACCTTTTTACGGACTTATATAAAGAAATCATATTAGGGAACCCTAAAAAAGGTAGGTTCCGTAGGGTCCAGGTAAACCCAAAACCCAGGATCCCTTTAACTTCCTCTTTTCTGAACCCGAACCCGAACCCCCCTTCCCCTCCAGTTCTAAACCTCCGCACATCTCCGAACCACGGAGCCCCCTCCCCCCCGTTTGAACAAAAGGCGCATGGCTGCCACACCCGTGCCGGAACCTCTACATCCCCAGCCCTCGGAACCTCGGAACCTCCGGACCCCGCCCGGTCCCAAAAAAGAATCAGACGACTCAACCCGAACTGGAACCGAACCCCGAATTTCGGAACCTCCGAACCGCCGGTTCCGGGTTGGGTTGGGCACTTACCGGTCTCTGGGGCTGTCGTAGTTCAAAGAGAGTTTCCGTGTGTAGGGCTTGAGATAGAAAAAAGCCTGAGTGAACCCTAAACCCTAAACCCTAAACCCTAAACCCTAACCGGCATGACGGTACCTCAAGGCTTCTGCTAGTCGGAACCCGGCCTTAAACCCTAACTCGTGGCTTTCGTGTCCGTGCTTTCTCAGCGGATCATGAGGTTATGAGAGGGCTGGGCCGCGGCGGGTGCGGTGGGGGGGGGTCGATCTTCAGCTGCTCGTTCCCAGAATTGTGATACATATGGGAGTTTCGAAAATTGGGAGTTACCTTAGTATGGGTCCTTATAATAAGGATCCTACTATTCAGGGTACTACATTAGGGTCCCCTTTTTTCGGAAACTCCCATATGAGCTCTGTCCAAGCACCAGACCGACGTCAGAGCAAACTTGAGGAAATGTGCAACTCCGCAGTCGCGTCGTCGGCATGCTGTAATCCACTTAAGCTCGACGCCATCATACTGATGCAACTTACACCAAAACCCTAAACCGCCTAAACCCTAAACCCCAAAAGCCTTTCTCAGGCTTTGCCAAGGCATCGAATGCAACGCCGTCACCTGCAGCGCCTGCATCAGCGCTTGTGAGAAGGGCCGAGAGCCTTCGGCCGAGAGCCTTTAAGGGTTTGTTGGTCTTGTCTTTGTAACGATTTCTGCTTTCTTTTTGCGATTACTATTGCTGCTGTATGACATTGGTGATGAAAACAAGAACAGTTCTTATCAGTATAATTCTCTAGTATATTGCTATTGAGTACTCTTCTTATGACTTGCTCTTACCATTTCAATCACTACTCAAGGACCTTGAATGGACATAACATGGACCCTTATGTGAAGCCACCCAGATCCTCATCCCGAAGAGGGTTTGCCGGCCGCTTCAGGAGTGGGCTCTGGCTCTGCATCTATTGCGGTCGATGGCCTCGTTGCAGGTGTCTTGTGTTTAGGACGTAGGTCTCTACACGGGTTCCTTTACGGGATCTAGAATCTAGAAGGGTTCCTATAAGCCTTCCTTTAAAGGGGATATATTGTGGCGCGCAGATTATGAGGTTTAATGGGGGCACCGGTAACGCAATGACGTTCGTTCAGGGTTCCATAAATGGGCCTGGATGATGATAAAAGGATTTGGGTTGTGTTATCGTCGTTTACCAGTTATCCAGGCCCCTAAAGATCCTACAGGGAACTCCAGAAAGTTGGAATATGGTTTCATGGTAGGATACCCTATAATTTGCCATAGAAGGGTTAGGATAATCATATTCCAACTTTCTGGCTTCTACCTTAAAGTATATAGGGATTTAGGGTGTTTAGGGCGTGGGCCTAGAGGTCCTGTCCTGCCTGGAGAACACCAACTAAAGACTATTTTTGAAATTTTCGTGGAACCCCAAAACCACTTGTGAGGGTGTCCTTCGGGTTTCCACGTCGTATCAAGGAGAGTATTGATGCTTGGGGTACGGCGGAAACCGGTATCTGAAAGCTTCGGACATGACGCTGCAGAATCTGCCTTGGCTTCTGTCAAACCTCTTCGTAGAGGCTTACATCGGTTGTGGATGTAGGGCTCACGGACTTTCCGGATTTCTGGTAAACCTCCACAACCTCAAATACCTTGCTGCAATCTTGGCGTTAAAACCCTCACCTTCAAAACCTGAACTGAAGAGCTCGAACATCCGAGACCTTCAATCCTGAACTCCGAATCTCGACAGAATTGTCAAAGACAAGAGCCCTGAACCCTACATCCGGCGCAGAGGAGCGTGCAACTGTGCTGAAAACTGCGTTTCGAGCAGGGAAAAACTCTGTAATCCCTTGCCTTTGAGAACCCACTTTGCAGGAGCGGGTTGTTAAAAACGAAGTACTAAAGCCCTAACCCATGAAACGCCATAACCCGAACCCCGAATCAGAGGCCCCAAAGCCCGAATGAGTCATTCCCTAATGTGAATCCGAGAACCTGAAGGAACTGAACCCCACGAATCCACGACCCGCTGTGCTCATGAAACACATAAGTACAATGCCGCAAAATATTTCTCAAGGTGGATACACTATGGCGCCGGTCCCCCCAAAAAAATGTGGAGGCCAACAGTCAAACCCTATATGCGCCAGGAACACCCTGTAAAAGCGATACAAAGACCCAATCAAAACCCTACACCCTGAGCACCAAGTCGCAATTTCTGGATCCTACAGGGAAAAAGCACCACACAAAACCATCAAGAAGGAGCCTACAAATAAAATTCAGGTCGAAGCTAACAGCTTCTCCTACAACGCGGCCGTGACGGCCTGCGAGCGGGGCTCGCAACTGCCGGCAGCGCTTTCGCTTCTCCAGGCTTCCTGGGTTTAGGGTTTAGGGTTTAGGGTTTAGGCTTTCGAGGTTTGGGGTTTGGAGTGTATGCTTTGGATGTACTTGGATGTGGGAGCTTTTAGGTTTGAGGGTGTTGTCTTCTTGGTTCTTTGGGGATGGGGCTTTCGGGGTTTAGCGTGTAGGTGTGTCGGATTCAGGGCCTTGCGCGAGCATTTCTTTATGTGTGTGTGTGTGTGTGCGTGCAACGTTACGTGGTCAACCCGGCACTAAGGCTCAGTCAGGAGTAGTTAGTTGTCGGCATCAAATTTTTCGAAAACACACAACTTTGGAAATCTAAATCTAAGTCGGTGGGTCTGCCTGCTTGTCGCGGTGAGCATATTTATGCATCTCTAGCTCGAGCTGCCGTATACCACAGTACATATCTCTCTACATATCTTGACTATGTTGACATGTATGTACATAGACAGAAGGACGAATGCAGCAAAGTACAAAATAGCATACGTATGCAGAGGTCACAAACTTGTACATGAATGTATGCAGGTATGCCAGTGCATGAGAGAGAGAGAGAGAGAGAGAGAGAGAGAGAGAGAGAGAGATCGCGAGGTTGGAAGGTTGGGGGGGGTTCTGAAATCTAGACCTCAAACCTTCGTCCCTTGAAGCCTATACCCGAAAGCCCTAAGCTTCGAAGGAGATGGAAGAGGTGGCCGTTCCCAAGGAGAACCGCGAGGGTCTGCATTTGCGGACTTGGGTGCTGTGAGAAGACGCTTTTCGTGTTTAGGATGTAAGGTTCACGGTTTTAAGCCCTAAAGTCCCTAAGCCCTGAGGTTTGAGGGGGCAGTCATGGTTCGCGGAAGATTCTGTACGCACCTGAGACACTCCCGGTAAAGGGAACCCATGAATCACATCAACGTCTCTGCATGGGTTTTTGTGGTGAAGGGGTTCGACGAGTTGTGTTGGGCCTGCAAACCTTCAATCGAAGCATTCAACCCAAAGCTAGGCCCAGGCTATACTTGAGCTTCTAGGCCCCTTAGCCATTGAGCCGTTTGGACCGACATGTGTCGGTTTGGCTAGGGCCCTTCCACGCCTGGCGCTGTAAGCCCTAAATCCCAAGTTTGAAGCATGATGCTCCACTTCAAGCCTGGACATTCTGAATCTTATACTCATGAATCATGAAGGACACGATCACCTACAGCACGGCCATCTTCGCTTGTGAAGCTGGTGGCCACTGGCAGATCGCTTTGGCCCTCTTGGAGGAGGGTGGCCAAAACGGTTGGTTTGGGTTGATATTATACAAATGGATTTGTATATACATATGTATATGCGTGTCATATATATATATATATATATATGATATTTTTGCCATTTGCATGCTGTCAGTGGGGTCCGCTGCCTAATTAACACGTGCAATCGTCCCGGAAGGGCTTGAACGGTTCAGCCACCGGGTGCTCCCAGAACGAAGTCGGAGCTTGTAGCTTTGGGGCTCCTCCTTTGAGGAATTCCTGCCACAGGGCTCTTAGCGGCTTCGGGAGCAACAGACCAGGGTCTTTGACCACGGCCGTGTTTAGCACCTCATCCCTATCCTGCCGCCACACGGCTTCCCAGCCGGCAGGTAGCGAGTACAATGAGGTGGTTTGGGTCCCGTTGTCCCCCTGGAATTTGTGGTGGATTTTCCACCAGTCGAGGGAGTCAAGCATCGATTGGAAGGATGCAAAACTACTCAGAGCTCGAAGTT